CGACCCTCGTCCGGCAGTTCCCTGACTCACTCGGTTACCTTTCGTTCACTGTCCCACCGCTCAAAGACGATGCGCGACCGGTGGAACCCACCCGCTGGCGGTTCCGAATCTCGAACTGCATTGGCACAAATGTGAACTGCTGTTCACTCGGGATGTTTGTGCGATCCCTTCTGAATACCTCCTACCACTTAGACACACTCGGACAAGGGACAACTGTCACCATACTGAGACACACCCTGGCACACTTTGGACTCAGCAAAACTCTCTGACATTAAAAATTGATTCAGTGGCAGTGTGATGAGGGAGGGGCAGCTGCTTCACAAACAGTTAACAACAACACAACCAACAAGGATACACATTGGGACATGCAGCACCGAGGAGGGCACGCGGAGATAAGCATAGGACAATGTTTCGGAAGGATGAGAATTCACGTTATCGACCGACGTCTCTTCCTCATAGGCAGTTTGCAACATACAGAATGTTCTGTATTGTGAGATTTGGCAATCAGAGACTTTATTTGTGTGCGTGCTAATTCACGTCCCTTGGGCCTGTCTCTGCTCTCCTTTTTGCTGGACAAGATAGGGAGGACTCACAGCAGCCACAGCGGGTGGACACAAGAGCCAGAAGAGGTGGCAAAGCTGAACAGCACAGTCAGCGGGGGTCACAAGAAGCAAGGGGGAGTCCAGCAAAGTCGAGCACTTTGGAGATGATTGATTCAAGAGACCAGGCAAAAGGTGGCACGTGGCTGTCCAGGCGAGCAGCGCACAGACGTCCCACGGGAGCGCGAGGGGCAGCTCCGAGCCATCTGCGGCTGGCTTTGGGGAGCTTCTCCTGGTCAGCCTAAGACAAGCTGGTGGGCTTTGCCCCCTCGAGAGTATCTGGGCTGCCTGGGGGCAGTCTCTGATCTCTCTGAAGGGGGGAATGATCATTGAGAACAATTGATAGTGTTTCAGCTGGTATCCAAGTCTGACCCTGGAGCCAGCTTGGAGACTCGGGGGGAGACCGCTGGATACAGCTCCAGAGAGAGGGCAGGCAAGTCTTGGTTAAGGTCCTCTTCCTGGGTCCTAAAATGCCCCCCTCCCACGAATCCTTTGGTGGTTCACATGGACCAGGTAGAGCGGAAATATTGATAGCAGAACATTCTGGCAAGATGTGGGGTACAGGCGTAGAGAGTGGGCCCCCAACAAACATCCATGCACCGTAGATTTCTAGTAAGTCAAATATTGTTAGAGCACCCACAATTATGAAAAGTAGCGGTGAACCCCTGGGCCAATGGCTGGTTGGTGATGCAATCCCTTGATGCCAGAGCCCAGTGCTTTTGGATTTAGGTGAAGGGTTGGGGCCCCCCGGCTTGCCTGTCCAGTCTGTCCTGGCACATCTTGCAGGTGGTCACACAAAGTAACGCACATGGCCTCATGCTCGAGGCCACCCCAGCCCCTGGCTGTGAGACCACAGGTGTAATGACAGAGCCAGAGGACTTGGGTCTGTGCGCTCCCCGATGGGGTGTAAAGGCACGACCGAATGCGCAAGAGCACCTCGGGGTGAGCATGTGTCCCCAGGCCACAGGTGCTTCGTGGTCTGGGGCTCCTCCTCCTCCTGCTGCTGCTGCTGCTGCTCGCGGGCGGGCTGACAAGATGGAAGCAGGGGTGGGTGCAAGGCTGGGGGAACCTCCTCTACTGGGAATTCTAGCTCCCCGGGGGGGGGGGGGGGGTGGCCCTCTCTTCCGTCCTGGGGCTCAATGGCAAATGGATGGACAGACTGGGAATGCGCATGACCTGGAGATGAGGCAGAGTGACCAAGCCAGTGGGGAGTGGTGGTTTCACCTGGGTGAACTCTAGGGATACTCTAGTTGGTTCTGGGGCCCTAATAAATAGCCAGATCTGAAGCTCTAATTTGGGGAGGGAGGGAAAACATCATCGTTGGGCTCATGAATACTGGAGCCAGGCTCTGGAGCTAAGGTTGGAAATTGGGGCGTAGGAATGGACTTTTCAAGCATGGCAGGATCCTCATGATGGGGCCTGAGGCTCCTCCGGTCACCCTTCCGAGCACCGGTTCCTTCACTACGCCAGCCGGGCCGATTGGGGATTTGGGCTGAGGATTCTTCGAAGAACGAGGAGAATTAAGGGCACTCATTAGGGAGTAGTGGGGCGCATTTCTGGCTCCAATGTCTACTCAAACGGATTTGGGTACACTGCCATGGACCAGCACAGTGTCTCCTGGCTCTGGGATTCTTACTAAAGGCTTGGAAGTGGACAACTTTGATCTGGGGAGCCAGGGGGGGCCCTGGCAGAAGTTGCAAAGGCCGCTTAGGAAGGTGTGGGGAGTGGATCTTGGGGCAGAGCAGGGATGGCCTGGCCATCTCCTAAGATGTGGGTTCTCACCCCTCTACTGGCATGGACGCTCTGCCCTATGGAATGACAATGGCCAGTGGGCTGGGAAAGGGGTTCCAGACCCTCCTCATCGGGGCCTCGGATGTTTGGGGCCCGCTCGCCACGATGGAAGTAAGCCCCCACGGGGGCTTTGGGGGCAGCGGGAAGGCCCGATCAGGGCTGGCCAGGAGCCAGAGACTAGCCTGGGGGAGGCAGGCAAGCAGGCGTCAGGGAGGAGCTTCACGCAGTCAAGCAGCAGAGGGTCGGAAGGCCCTCAGTCTAAAAACCAATCCCCCCAAGAGCAGCCCCAACAAAGGTTTATCCAGCCTCCGCTTGACTTCCTCCAGTGAAAGGCAGCTCACTCCCTCACGAGGAAGTGCCCTCCATCTTCAGAGATCTCCCATCCGGGGGAAATGCTTTCCCTCCCACCTCGCTGGCAATCTGCTGTCCTAAAATTTTCATGAGGGAGGTTCCAAAGTGGGCCATGGGAGGGTGGCCCAGAAAACTTGTGGAGGCTGGCTTCCAGCAGTGGGGGCTCTGTCCCAGGGTGGGGCACAGAACAGCTGTCCAGTCCCCAGGAGGACCGGAAAGAATAAGGCAGGATCCCAGGGCCTGGGAACCTCAGAAACAGGATAGGATGCAAAGAGAGCTTGGACACGGGGGAGGGGGATTCAGTGCTGGCAGTAGTATACAAGGTCATACGAAGACCAGCAGGAAAGGGGTTGATGCTGGGTCACGTGACCCACAATCTTCTGTACAGAATGGTGGGTTTTCATGGGCCTCCTGCCTTGAGGCCAGATTGATCTAGAAGCCGGGAAAGGGCCAAGCGTACAGGTGGCAGTTAAGTGGCCCCGGCTGGAGGGGGGGGGGGGGGTTGCGGCAGGCAGGGGCCGTCCTCTCACTCTAGGGACTGGGGGGTACACTGATTTGGACAATCACAACAAAAAGGGACCAGCACACTAGCTGCTGGTGCTGATTTCTTGGAGCTGGTAGACGTTACCAATTTTGGCAATATATCACATGGTGTTTAGGCATATGGTCTCTTCTAGGCTCTGTCGCCAGGAGGCAAAGGCAGCTTTGATCACTGGCGGTTTTCTTCCAGGTGGCCGAATGAATGAACTTTCATGTTGCTAAGCTTGTGAAATAAAGCAGGACAGAGGCAAAATGGCCCTGCTTCTCCCCTTGCCTGGTAGGGGGCTGTCCCAAAGGCCATGTGTGAAGCATCAGTTTCTAGAAAGTATGAGGAATGGCCATCCTGGAAGCGTGAAATTGAGGTCAGAGTGTAGATCAATGTCTCTGGGGCTTTCAGTGTCTGTTTGGAAAGTCCCATGCTTCCTAAAAGATCTATTGAATGAGGCAAAGAACCCAATGAGTTGCTGCAGCTCCTGGACAGGCCTTAAGGCCCCAGGTGTCATGGGGAGGGTGCCAGTCCAGGACGACACTGGCCCAATGAGAGTCCATCTGGATGCCTTCGGGGGGGGGGGGACGATTTCCCCAAGAGATTCACACGAATGAGGCTGACGACACACTTGTCTAATTTAATATACAGCTGGCATCTGGGAAGCCAGTTTGGAGTCTAGATAGACTGCAGTCTCAGGAATCAATCGCTATATGGTCAGCTCCACAGCCATGTGGTGGTGAGTGAGGTGGTCACAAAACACCTTGCTGAGATTGCTGAAATGGGAGTATGCGTTGCGAAAGCTGGACAGCATCAGCGGATATTGGAGGTGACCAAGAAGGGAATCAAGCAGAGTTTTCCATTCATTTCCCTTCCCAACATGGACCAGGTGGTGTAACCTGCCGGGGACCTGGTCCTGTAGATGGGGGCTGCTTGGAGCTGGTACAGTATGTAAGGAGCCGAAGGTGGTGGATACTGGTTCCAGACGGCGATAGCATTTGGGTTTTGAGAATCATTGCAAAGATACAGCTCTCCCACTTTTTTCATGATGACAACTGGGGCCCCCACTGGGGAGGCCGGCTGGACACAAACCCATTTCACGTTCTTGGCCAGGAAGTCTCGCACAGCCATCAGTTCCGGGTCTGACACGGCATAGGGGTAGGCGGTGGGGGCCACGGCGTAGTTGTACGGCGCGTGGTACGGGATAGCTTCCTGGGCCATCGGCATGAGGACCTCCTGGACGTCCATCCCTCCAGGGACCATGCTCGGCGCCATCAGCAGGGCGGCCCGACAGTTGTGCTGGCAATACTCTGAGTCAAAAACGATGGTGCGGGAACTCCACATGATGGAAGGGTTGTGCTGGGTGAGCCACCGCACTCCCAGAACCACCGGGAAGAAGGGGGACTGGGTCACATCGAAAGAGAGTCTCTCGCGGTGCTCCCCAATGTCTACCACCAGCTCCTGGGTCTCCTGGGTCACTGGGCCAGAGGCCAAGGGCCGTCCGTCGATTGCTTCTACCAGCACTGGCCAATACTTAATCTTTACTGGGATTCCAGTCTGTGCAACGTAATCTTGGTCTATGAAATTGCCAGAGGCACCAGAGTCAATCATGGCGCGGACGGTACAGTAGGAGCCGTCCGGGAGATGTAACGTGATCAGTAGTTGCAAGTGAGAAGATGACGCATCATCTGGGGGGGACCTTTCTGGTTCCGGCCCGGGCGCTGGGGGTCCCTCTACAGCGGGGCCAGGGAGTTTCCCACCCCAGAAGACTTTGGCTTCTTGGATGGACAGTTGTCCACATAATGGCCGGCCAGCCCGCAGTACATGCACAGGTTCAGTCTTCGGCGGCGCTCTCTCTCTTCCGGAGTCAGCTGGGGCCGAGTGATGAGCTGGTTAGATTCTGACTCGGCCTGGGGAGACGAGGAGCTCTGGGGCTGGGGCGAGCCGCTGGGAGACGCCCCCCTCCGAGAATTCAGCCTTCCCTCTATGCGCAGACACTGGTTGATGAGCGCGGGCAGCGAGCGGGCCACCTCCACACGGGCGAGCTCGTCCTGGATGGGATCACTGAGGCCCTCCAGGAACTGGTCGATGAAGGCGGGCTCGTTCCAGTCCAGGTCCTGGGCGCAGAGACGGAAAGCGCTGGCGTAGTCCAGGACGGAGCCGAGGCCTTGGCGGAGACGCCGGATCTTGCGGTTGGCGGCCTCTTTCCGCTGGGGGTCCTCAAAGGCCTGCTTGAACTCGTCGATGAAGGCCTCGTAGTTGTTCAGCAGAGGGCTGGACTCCAGCAGGTATGGGGTGGCCCAGCGGGCCGCACGCCCTTTGAGAAGGCTGGTGAGGAAGCACACGCGGACGTGCTCCGTGGGGAAATCTTCAGGCCGAAGCTCCATGTACAGGCGGCTCTGGGCCAAGAAGCTTGGGAGCATCTCAGGGGTCCCGTCAAACTTCTCGGGGAGGCCGACGGGGCATTTGCCACGAGGGGCAGAGAGGCCCATGGCGCCCGCCGGGGTGGCCTGGAGCTGGCCCCGCAGGTTGGCGTTTTCCTCGGACAGCTGGAGGAGCTGGGTCTGCAGAGAGCTGTTCTCCTCGGTCTGTTGGAGGAGCTGGGCCCGTAGGGCCTGGACCTCTGCTGTGAGGTCCTCCATCCTGCAGCGGCGGGCTGAAGCACCCGAACCGGTGCTAGTTGGCATAATCCAAGATCCTGGGAGTCAGGGTAAGCAGGATCAAAGAAGCCCTGGGGAGGGGCTCAGTCAGACTAGAGTAGGTGGAGGCAGCAGCCACGGTGGGGGGGGGGGGGCAGGGGGAGGCCAGGGAGCCTCGAGGAGAGATCGAACAGGCCAAGAAAAGGTCCTACCGTCTGAGAGTCCACCACCAATGAGAAGAAGGGGCCGTGAGCCCGAGGGTCAGTCGATCATCTGAAGATTCAGTGAAAATCCCCTGGCAGCCCTCCACAATTCCGTGCCGTAGAGGGCCCGTTCAGATGGGACGCAATCAGGACCGGTGTCTCCGAACTACATTCTCTAGCTGGCAGAGTCCGGACAGGTCAGGGGTCTGGGCAGAGGCGGTCCAGGTTCGGACCTCCTCCTCCGGGAGCCCTCCCCCCCACCCCAGGGTGGGGGGTGTGGTCTGACACGACTCCCAGATCCGGCGGCTTTCTTAGGCTCAGCACTTGTAGATTCTACTGTCTGCCTGAGGAATTCCAAAGTTACTGGTGCCTGTGAATAAGGAAGACAGAGAGAATGTCAGCTGAGTTACAGATGCACTGAGGAGACATGGCAGAGGAGCAGGTCTGGGGCACATGCCAGCATCTGACCTCAGGCACCAGAGAGACAGAAAAGTGATCAGAGAAACAGCTTTGGAGGGAGCAGACTCAAAGAGTGGGGGAGAGGCTGGGAGGCTTCAGGAGGTCAGTATTATGAGGGGGCTCCATTGGCAGAAGACTGAGATTGGAAGGAGTGCTAGATGATAAGGAGATGGAGAACAGGGTTGGAGGCTAGAGATTTGTAGTAAAGAGTTCGGGGCAGGGCTAGACTTTTTTTTTTTTTTTAGTGAGGCAATCGGGGTTAAATGACTTGCCCAAGGTCACACAGCTAGTACGTGTCAAGTGTTTGGTCTGAGGCTGGATTTGAACTCAGGTCCTCCTGACTTCAGGGCCGGTGCTCTATAGGGCTAGCTTGAAATAGATAGGGAGGGGGTTTGAGTCTATGGGACAGTAGTTATGAGGGGAGGATGGGGGGGATTGACTCTCCAGTGATGGGGAAGGAGTTAGTGAATATAAGCCTGCAGTAATGAGGGTAGCTTGTGGGTTGGACTCTAAAGGGGCGGGGTTTCAGGTGAGAAGACTGGAGCCATGAAAGTAGTTTGTGGGGGGGGGTAGATCGTAAAGAGATGAGGAGGGAGCTTGGAGGCAGAACACTAGAGCACTGTGGCAAGGCTGAAAGGGACAGCTGAGAAGGAAATGGGGAGGGGGTCTGAGGCAAGATGATGACAGTGGTAAGGGTAGGTTGTGAGAGGGATGGGGGGAAGGTGGTAGGAGTCCAATGGTAATGAAGAAGGCTGTGAAGAGGCAGCCTGAGATTAGAGTTTAGTAATGACAGGAGGATGGTGAGGGGCTGAATTATAAAGAGATGGGGAAGGAAGTGGACGCAAAGGACAGCAGCAATGAGAGCAGGTTGGGGGGGCTTTGTGTCTGCAAGACTGCAGCAGAATATTAAGAGACGGGGGAAGTGATTCTAGTTAGGGGGAGCTAAAATTTTTAAATTGGGGAGGGCGTGTAAAATTAGAGGCCTGTAGTAGTAGGGGCAGCTTTTGGGGGGCTAGGTCATAAGGAGAAGGGAAGAGGGCTAGAGGCAAGCTATAAGTAATGAGGGCTGGTTGTCAGGAGAGGGTCAAATATACAAAAATGGGGGGTATTGAGATTAGAGGAGTATGGCAATGAGGGGAGGGGTGGGGGTGTAGACAATAAATGGGTAGGGAGGGGGTTGGAGGATACAGGACAATAGTAATGGGGGGAGGTTGGGGAAGTGGGGGCTGCATCATAAAGAGATGGGGAGCTGAGGCTAGAGGAGGTATCAGTGAGGGGGGGAGGGGGGCTGACTCTAAAGTAATCGGGAAGAGGTTGGGGAATAGAGAATTCTAGCAATGGGGGTCAGGTGTGGGGTCAAGGTGGGGTTTGAGGCCAGAGAGCTGCAATGTTGAGGGGAGGGCTGGACTATAAAGGGATGGGGAGAGGGTCTGAGGCAACATGTCAACACGAAAGAGGGCAAGCTGTGGGAGGGGGAATGTTAAGAGATGGGGGAGGGACTTCTAATGAGGGGAGGTCGTGGGAGGAGGGGCAGATGGAGTCTAAAGCCATTGGGAGGTGATCTGAGATGGGAGGGCTATAGTAATTAGGGTAGGCCGTAGGAGGGGTAGATAATAGAGAGGGGCCTCTGAGGATAAAATACTACTTAAATGAGGGCAGGTTTTGGGGGGATGGCTAGATTAAAAAATAAATAGAGTGTTTGAGATCAGAAGCCTGTAATAATGAAAGCTGACCAAGCGGGTAGAGGCGAGGCTGGATTATAAAGAGGTAGGAAGAGGGTTGAAGCTATAAGACTTTGGGGACTGGAGTAGCATCAGAGGGTCTAGAATTCAAATAGATGGCGAAGGGCTTTGAACCTTCCATAATCTACAACCCTAAACTTTAATGAGCTGGGGAGGGGATTTGCTTCTATGGGACTATAGTAATGAGGGCAGGTTGTGGGAGGGGGACTTTTTAAAAAATGGGGGACAGGCTTTGCTAACCCTAACCCTAACCCTAGAGACTTCTTGTAATTAGGGTATGTTTTGGGGAGTGGATTAAGAGAGATGGGGAAGGGGCTACATTATTAAAAGAAGGGGAGGGGGCTTGAGGCCAGAAGACCCATTGAGGGTAGGGGGAAGGAGGAAATAGGAAATGTGGAGGGGGTCTGAGGCAAGACAACAATGAGGGGAGATCGTGGGAGGGTGTAACATGGAAAGAGATGGGGGCGGGGCTTTGCTAACCCTAACCCTAGGGATTTCTTGTCATGAGGGTAGGTTGTGGAGTGGGGTTTCAGGCTATGGGACTGAAGTAACGGGGGGGGGGGGGGGTAGACTGGGGATGGGGCTAGATAATAAAGAGGATGTTGAGAAAGGGTGAGGCAAGGGTAGCATTAGGGTTAGTGGTAACCCATAACCCTAACCCTAAACTTTAATGAGCTGGGCAAGGGATTTGCTTCTATGGGACTATAGTAATGAGGGCAGGTTGTGGGAGGGGGTATTGTGTTTACAAAATGGGAGTGGTGCTTTGCTAACCCTAACCCTAACCCTGGGGACTTCTTGTGATGAGGGTAGGTTGTGGGGATTGGCTTTCAGGCTATAGGACTGAAGTAATGGGGGTAAGCTAGGGGGCTAGATAAGAAAGAGGGAGTGAGGCTATAAACAGGGGAAGCATTAGGGTTAGTGGTAACCCATAACCCTAACCCTAAACTTTAATGAGCTAGGAAGGGGATTTGCTTCTAGAGGACCATAGTAATGAGGGCAAGTTGTGGGAGGGGCATCAGAATATTAAAAGATGGGGGGGGGTGATTCTAGAGATCTGTAGTAAGGTAAATAGGTTGTGGGGGGGCTGAAATATTAAAAATGGGGAGGGGGTATGAGACTAGATGACTAGTAATGGGGAGGCTAAATTATATAGAGATGGGGGGCTTGAGGCTAGGAGATTATAGCAATGGGGGTAGGTTATGGGAGTGGAGTCTGAAGACATGGGGAGGGGGTCTGAGATCACAGGACAGTAGTATTTAAGCTAGGTTGTGAGGGGAGCTAGATAATAAATAGCAAGGGAGGGGCATTTGAGGATAGAAAACTGTTTAAATGAGGGTAGACTATGAGGGGATTAGACTTTTTAAAAAGGGGACGGGGTCTGAGATCAGAGGACTGTAGTAATTAGGGTAGGTTGTGAAGGGGGGCTAGATAATAAATAGGGAGGGAGGGGCATTTGAGGATAGAAAACTGTTTAAATGAGGGTACACTGTGAGGGGATTAGACTTTTTAAAAAGGGGAAAGAGATTGAGACTGAAGGCCAGTAGTAATGAAAGCAAGATATTAAGGAGGGGGCTAGATTTTAGAAACAAGGAGAGGGGGCTTGAGGCCAGAAGATCCATTAAGGGCAGGTGGAGGGTGGGGATAGGAAATAGAGAGGGGCAAGATGACAATGAGGGGAAATTATGGGAGGGGGTAACATGGTAAGAGATGGGGAGGGGCTTTGCTAACCCTAACCCTAACCCTAGGGACTTCCTGTAATGAGGGTAGGTTGTGGGGAGGGGTTTCAGTAACGGGGGTAGACTGGGGATGGGGCTAGATAATACAGAGGTTGGGAAAGGGTGAGGCAAGGGTAGCATTAGGGTTAGTGGTAACCCATAACCCTAACCCTAAACTTTAATGAGCTGAGGAGGGGATATGCTTC